TCACCTTCTTGGTGATAGTGAGACGGATGAAACTTATACTCACGTGGGGACAGACAGGGTGACGGTTGTGTCATAATCCGTACAGGGTTATTAATAGTTGTTTAATTTTCCTATTATAGTATAGATTTTCTATTCTTTATTGAAGAAGATTTCGTAACTTTAATACCACGAATGAAGGTGACTGTACATTTTACATAGCGAAGTTTTCAAAGAACTAATTTGTAAGCAATTTTATGCAAAACGTATCGCTTTTTTGACCGACTTCCCAAAAGAAGGAGGTACTCAATACGTCTGCATGTTTTTTTATTATTTTTTTTTGTGTGTGTTATTGAACTAAACGGCAAATATCAAATACGCAAAAAATACTACGTCTCGGTGACAATTTATAAATGTTAGTGGTTTCCGCAGTGGAAATTTACGCTAATATAAAATCTTGTATAACTTTCTTGCTCGCAATAAACAATGATAACTAAATTAAAAGAAGCTATTAAACAGACGTGTTAATGTAAAAAATAAGATAAAGTGTTTTAATAAATATTATTGCAAAGAAATTATCTTTTATCTTCAATTTTACTATTTTATAAATAACCAATTTTGTGTATTTAATTGGATATTTTTTTTGCATAGGTGTAGTAAAAATGATGAACAAACGTATACCCGAATTTAATAGAAATAAGAAATTATATACACACTAGCGTTCGCCCGCGATTCCGTCTGCGTTAATTATATTTGTATTTATAGGCTTACTAGCTATTGCTCGCGCCTTCGCCTGCGTTAAATTATAACAATAATAAAATAAAAAAATTGCCTGTTACTTACAGATAAATTACCTTTCTAATTATGAGAGATTTTTTGAAATTGGTTCAGTAGTTTTTACGTGAATCGATTACATAAAAAATCTAAATATTTCCTCTTTATATCATTAGTATAGATAAAGATAATATTGTTTACATTGTTTGCTTTCATTTCTGTTTTACTTTATTATGTTTTTGTAAATGTTTTCTCAGTGAAAACTGACAACAAACAAGTTGTATAACTGGTCATATTTAGACATGTGCATTGATCGTGCATCCGGTCAATAGGCTATCCAGAATTATGAAACTGCAATGTAAATTACATTTAGATTATCTTTATAGTGCCATTAAAATATATTTATTGACACTAAGTTGTAGATTTTTCTGGTTTTTGCTGTACTTTTATGGTATAAGCTGTTTCTCCCGACTTCGTCTGAAAATTCAAAAACACCAATAACAAAAACTAAAAAATACTCTAATAAAATCGTTCGGGAACCTGACACTTTTGTAAAATTTAAAAAAAAATTGTATTTTTTCAACTTGCGGACAAAGTCGTGGCCAAGCGTTAGTAGAGTAATAATAAATGTGTCAAGATTCGTTTACTATTACTCCATGTTAAGTTTATAAGATCAAAGTTACATTATCTGTGAGCTCGTGGTGTCCGCGTGACGGTGTGATGGAGGTCATTGTTGCAGCGGTAGACGACGGTCAGACGCTACAGATAACATCCCGGATGCTAGCCAGTGTTGCCAGTGTAGATTTAATTTAAAAAAAGCTGAGGGCAACACCAATATATTATGTAGAAATATTGGTAATTTAAATTAATAGTGTAAATCAAAGTAAAAAATTGATGTATATTTTGGTGTCTATTTTAACAATAATTTAAATAATAAATTTGTTTAAAAAAAATCAAAATTAGTCATTAGAACAAGGTCGGCATTAGGGTAAGGCGGTTGGACGATCGCCCAGAGAATTTGTCAGGAAAGGATGCCAAAATCAGCGAATTACATAAACCTCATAATAATACCCCCCGAGCATGGTAGAAAGGGGGGTCGTAGAAATATCGCCCAGGGCGATAGTAGGGCTGCCAGTAACGTATACCAAACTAATCTAACTACAGGAAGTGGGTCAATTAGTATTAGAGTTGACCTAAATAAAAACATTTTGCAATATTCGTGCAATTTAAAATAACAATTTGTTACTACAAGTTATGTCAAGTAAAGTTAAGAATGTTTATATTATAAGTTTGGAAGTAGCACTAGTGTTTGAGAAATTGTGAAGCAAAAGGTAAACGTATGGACATGTTATGCGACAAGACGATGGGGACATAAACCAGAAAGTGTTAAGATTGAATGTGGATGGCTACGAAGGTAGAGGAAGACCGAAGTATGGAAGGATTGTGTGAAAGAGGATATGCTTAAGAAGGGAATGGATTCAGATATAACGGTTGATAGAAATGTATGGAAGAGTAGCACATACTGTGCTGACCCTTTGTGAGGACAATGGCAAGTTGATGATAGTGAAATGTATCAACAGTGAAAACTCAAGGATAAACTTACCTGTTGACAGTGGAGTACGTGGACACGGAGTACAGTCTGTGGCTGACGTGGTTCCTGATGCCAGTGATTGTTACATTCCTGCTGCCCGCAGTCATCATAGTACTCATCTATATCAGCAGCGTCATCTTCCATTTGTACCGGCTCTACAGGTACGTTGTACTAGTTGTACTATTAGTACAAATTCTATAAGTCTTTACTTCAGTATCTTATAAGCTGTACAAGTATAGAGTATAAATGTTTGTTTATACAAAGTACGGCTTTTAACCCACGATATTCGGGCACTGTTGCATGCGCCATGTTCAACCACATCGTGGTAAGAAACCCATATCTTTCGAACATTATATTGTAAAAACCACGATAGTTTGAATTTATTTTTTACAATCCGATTCTTAATTTAATGGAAGACACAGTAAGAAAGTGACCAGGAGACCGTCAAATTTCATAAATAGCACCACTTTAAACATGAAGTTGGACCCAACGGTTACCGACAATTCGTTCATAGGGGATTTTTCCCATTGGACTGTTCAATTCCACGAATACAATCGTACCAACGGAAAACATCCTTTACTTTTACTATAGAAATCTTGCCCAGGGCGCCGGTAATGCTAAAACTGGCCCTGAAAAATTGCTAAATCTTTTGCCTAAGTTTAATTCTATTTATAGAGTCAGACGATCGAAATAGGAATATCTGTTATATTGTTATGTCTACGTCTTATCAAACAAGACCTCAATTGGACTGTCCTAGGTAGAGGACTGCGCGTGATCAATTATTTTTTATCAATGCAATAAAAAACGAAACTTTTTAATGAGATCAACGTTCAACCGGTAAACCATGAATTTGTGTAACTGATAATTTGACTTTAAAAATTATATCCGCATTATTTAAATCAAAACAACGTTAAAATAATAAAGTACGGTATTTCCAAACCAATATGGCTTAGGGTACTTCAAGAAGCGAGCCTATCATTTCCTGAAAGGCAACGCATCTGTAGTACCTCTAGTGTTGTGGATGTCCGTGGGCGTCGTTGACCACCTCGGTGTTCTCACCATTCGTTTGCTCCCTTTTATTATAAAAAAATAAATAAAGAGATTTCCTTTAATTATACTGATTTCGAAGAATCTCCTGCTACATCTCTTTAACTAGCCAATTGCCAATTTCCTGGACATCTTCGCTTGGACTTGGGGTTCCATCTATATCACTTTAGCAATCGGGTATCGTGGATGAAATCTTCAAAATTACCTTCTAGGGGAAAAACTTGAACCACCAAAACCTTCTGTGTCCATCCTTGAGTGCGACTGAAGAATTCAGTGGTCTTCAGAGGGATGCTCACAACCCTAGGGAGACGAATCCCTAGAAATAATCCTGGATTCATTTTTTTCTACATACTTATATTATTTGTTATTTGTTAGGTTGCGAGTGATAGATGGTGTGGAAAGCGACTGGCGGCAGGCTGCGCGGCTCGCGGTCTGTGCGTTATGGGACGCACACGGCTGGCTTTGGCACGGTAAAACTTATATAATATTATAAATGCGAAAGTTTAGATGGATGTTTGTTAGAGTTTGTAGCCTAAACTACTGAACGGATTTCGATGAAAGTTGGAGAAGATGCAGAGGATAATCAGAAAGACCTATGTGTTCTTAGTCTATTTTTTTAAATTTTGACAGAGGCGAAAATTTAGAGACTTACATGCCTACGAAGAGATCTCATTTCGCTGTTACTTTCCTTGTTCTATACGACCATTTTACATTCCAGGTTATGAGATCCGAGGCCTAGAGAATATTCCAGAAGGTCCGTTCTTGCTGATCTACTACCATGGTGCGCTGCCCATCGACATGTACTACTTCACCGCGAGAATGTTGCTCTTCAAGCGACGGCACATGCACACCGTCGCTGATAGATTCATGTTTAAGATACCGGGTAAGGTTAAGTTGACTTGTAAAGCTGTACCAAATACTGATCATAAGAATTTTGAATTACAATCGCACTCTAATTGTTTAAACTAAATTTTTTCTTGTAGAGATCTTATAATAAATCTAAGGCCTAATTTAAGTCCCCTTCTCTTTACCATCCTTTTCTTATAAGGAGAGAGGAGGAGATCCATAGGAAGGGGAAATATCCTCTTTATGTGCGTCTCCTCCTCCGTCGTATAAGGGTAGGCAACGCATCTGCAATTGCGGATGTCTATATGCAGCGGTCGCTTCGAATCTTGGCGGATTCTAGTGGTCGCTTGCTCGTTTGCCACCTTATGTTATAAAAAAAATCTACACAACTAGGAACGCCGGAGGTAGCAGTAAAAGGAATATATAAAATAGCTATATAAACTAATGTGGAACACTAAAATGCATTCATTTTCCATTGGCAATCGAATTCAGTCAGTTTTCGTTAAAAATTGGATGTTGATACGTATTGTCTTTGGAATAAAAAATAGTTTTTATTCCCGCCCCCCTTAATTATCCCTTAAACAGTAGTCCCTAGATCAAAGACTGGCGATGTGGTAGGTACTTAGGTACACTTAAAGTACTCAATAAATGAGATTACAATAACTGTTTTCGATGTAGCTGGCCGTTATTGGCTTGGTTTGGCTTTATTGGCCAAAACCCCTATAATCTGACTGGTCTACTTGCCTCCAGGCTGGTCGACGCTACTGGAAGGTCTGTGTGTGATTCCGGGCACGGTGCAGACCTGCACCAGCGTGCTGCGCGCCGGCAACCCGCTGGCCATCTCGCCGGGCGGAGTGTACGAGGCCCAGTTCGGAGACCACTACTACAGGCTGAACTGGAAGTCTAGAATAGGCTTCGCTAAAGTCGCGCTAGAAGCTAAAGTTGTAAGTATAGTGCACTAGACGAAAATCTATACAAATAATTCAATCTCTTAACTATTGTTGCTTATTTGTGTTATTTTAAAAGATTTTTTTATTCAAATACTTTAGATGTACTATCTTTTACTGGTTTGTAATTTCTAGTAATGTTTCAAGAGCTTTAAAAACAAAAAGAAAAACAATTAAGTTTAACATGACTATGTGGTCCTTGGAGACGGATATTTACTAACATTATTAACTTTTATTAATAACAGATGTGTTCAAAATAGCAAATAGTAAAAAGTAGGATTATTTTTTACTAGCTTTCACACGCGATTCAGTCCGTTTGGAATTAAAAAAAAAATCCAGGCCTACATCTATGCCAAATGTCACTGAGATTTGTTCAGCAGTTTAGGCTACAAACTAATAAACATCCATCTAAACATTCGCATTTATAATATTGGTAAAAATTTAAATATATTTATAGCCGATAGTACCGATGTTCACACGCAACGTGCGCGAGGCGTTCCGTACCGTGGGATGGTTACGCGGACTGTGTCTGCGTATTTACGCGCGCACGCGAGTTCCGCTCGCGCCCGTGTATGGCGGCTTTCCCGTAAAGCTGGTGACACACCTCGGCCCGCCGCTGCCGCATGACGATAATATCACACCGGAACAGCTGCAGAAGAAGGTAGGCCAGTCACCTCCAATTGAGAACTACCCTAGTAAAGATACTAGATTTTCTCCGCGACTTCGTTCGTGAAATTAAATTCTTAGTCTATGTGTGTTATCTACGCTAGATATAGAGATTTGTTAACATATTCGTGTATTTAAATTTTCGCATTTATCATATTAGTAAGGGGGCGTCCATAAATTACGAGAGGTGTAAGCGGTAGAGGGGGTCTAGTCAAATCTCATCGAATCTTACGTTGGAGATGGGGTGTCGACAAATATCACCCATTTTTTTGTTTGAAACAAAAAAAATAAACTATTTTGGTTCATTTAATCCAGATTGTACATGCTTAAGATTTTATCTTAAGCGTAATCGTAATACGATTAAGATCATTTACTAATTCTTTCGAAAGAAACGTTATACATTTACTGATTGTCAAACCACCATATTTGTTTTATACCAAATCTCACGTGAGATTGAGGGTTGGGGGAGGAGATTGAATAAAATCTCATGACATCTCACCAGGGGCAGGAAATGAAAAAAAAAACACCTCACGTAATTTATGGACAACCCCTAAGATAGTATGAACATAAAAAAAACAGTAGAAAATCATTAACTGCATTAGACCTGCAATAAAATATTTTTTTCAAGGTCACTTTTGCGCGTTTTGTTACACGAGGGAGATGGAAGACACTTTATATTATCGCTCTTTCACATAATGTTTTTGCTAATATATGTTTGGAATCAGAATCCCCTTGTTTTCTAGTTTACATGTATTTTTTTTTTTGATCTCAGGTTGCGAGTGCCATAGAGAAATTAGTGGAAGAACATCAGAGGGTCCCTGGAAACATACTCTTCGCTTTAGCGGAAAGAATATACGAAATGCCAAAGAAAACAAAATCCATAGCCAACGGTACTTGCCAGAAAGAGACGGCAGATAGTGCGAGTGACAAGTGCGACAGAGACAAAAGTAAAACGTCTTAGTTTATGGATAATGTTTGTATTAATTTAATACTAAGATATATAAATATGTTTATATGTACAATATTGTGGCATTTCAAAGATGTTTTAGAAGTAAGACAGAGATAATACAGGGTGTTCAAAAAACAGAACACTACAAATTAGTTTAAAAACAACTTACACTATTTAAGAGCGCTGGTGTCAAAAATACCACCCAGAGTCGTTTATATGTTACTTAAGTAATCTTTAGTGTAGATTTAGTATGATAGATTCTACGTTTTTATCATTAAATATGTTTTAAAATATTTTTTTTAATCAAATAGGTTTTGTTGTGCAAAGAATATTTGAAAATCCTGTTTATGAAAGGGACAGAAAGTGTTTAAATTATATTTTACACATATTTTAACCTATTTAACTGTTTATATACAAAAATGTATAAAATATAATGTTCTATGTGTTTTTTTAAATTTAATTAGTCATTTAAGATCTACTTAAAAATGCTATAACAAAGATTTAACTCAAATTTTATATTGTGATAATTATGTGCTGAAAAAAATTATTTAGTTGTAATAAAAAGTGACAAATTGACGTAAAGTGAATTAAAATGGAATAGATACTTAAAAATTATATAATAAGCTGTTTGAAGACATTTATTTTATAGTTATGCATTTCTCACAATAAAGAAAAAAAGATTTAAATAATTTAAAAATATCAAATTTAATTGAACGTAGTCATTTTCTGTTAAGTGTCCAAAAATCCGGAGTGAAAAAGACAAACTTATGCACAAAGTAAACGCGTAAAAGAGATAGAACATTTCGTATGTACTTTGACATTTATTGCCGTGAAGTTGGCTATAGAAATGACAATCTGTTTTGATTTCGTTGAATTTTTTTTGTAGCTATTAGAAAATTATATTTGAATAATCTTCGAGTCATTTGATTTCCATTTATTTTATAATACTTTAGTAAATGTTATTCCTATTTTAGTTAGAAATTAAATTTCATCCATATTTTAGTTTTAAGGTCTTTTAATAACATTATGTAAATATCTCAAATACGTTAATTAAATTTACTAATATTTGTCACAAAGTTAAATTAAAACTATCAAAAAATAACAGTCTCTTAGTATCAATATTTTTCTAATATTACTAATGTAGGATTGTAATATTTTTTATACTTATATAAACAAATACATCGTTTATAACGACCAAAATCATCTCCGTAATTTATAAACAATATTGAGTTAGTGTCTAAATAAAATAGATTAGTTTGACAATTCATTTTAAATTTAGTAGGGATGGGTTGTGTAATCAGTCATGAATCTTATCGATTTTCGATTTTTATTCTAATAGAAGTTGGAATTGAAAGAAAAACAGTGTTTTCTCGTATTAATAATGACCATTACAAATAATGAGAGTAAATAAATGTTTATTACTACTACAGCCGTACGTAATCGAATTGGATTTCGCTATTATTTCTGTCATCGTTAAATTGTCTACACTATAATCAATACTAGAATTGTCCTAAATTAGTTAATAAGAAAATAATAATTTTAGTTGAGTTCGATAAATATTTAAACCGAATATCGATAGTTCATAATTGTTCGCTGCGTGTTTGTTTCGTCACTACGATACCTGTCTATTAAGTACGGCATTTGCATTCATACAAATCGTATTCGATACTTCATATGCGTCATTTATCAAACTAATCTATCTTATTGACAAACTATAAGACTATCGACTGAATACTAACATTCCTTTCAATATTGTTATATCCTATATTTGGTTTAAATTTAGTATTTCTGGATAGATTCAATCGTAATTAAATATTTGTGATTATCCGTAGATTTAGTTTTATAAATAATCTATGCATTATACCAAAAAAATGGCTTAAAATTCGAATATTTCTTCGTAAAATTTTTATCTGTTTGTATGAAAATACAAATATCGACTTTGCATTTATTTCGTGAAAATTATATACTTTTAACTGACGAAATAGTTTTTTACGTAATGTATAATATTTTTTATGTATATTTGTATAAATATGTACTCATGTATGTTGAAATATTAACACTTTCACTGCCGCTATGGAAATAATTCGCTGAGCGAGTCGGTATTGATTGTGTTAAATGTGTGTATTCTAAGACGTGTAAAATAACGTTTTCAACATTTATCAAAACAAAATAAAAGCTATTTTAAATATAAATCAGTTTTATTTTCAGAATAGATGAATTTTTACACTATTTTTACACACACACTTTTCAATGCTATTTTTTTGAAAAATTCATTTTAATTAGTGTGAGCACTTTAGGGGAGGGCAGATAGATGATCGAGGGGGAAGGGGGAGTAAACTTTTTTTTTATTCCAAAGAGAAAGTTCATAAGAGATTACTAAGGAATTGAACCCATTTTGTTTTTTTTGGACGTGGTATTACACCGGGCGTCCCGGCCCATTCGTGCGAAGATGTTAAAGCGGGCGCTACCACTGTGAAATTACTACTTCCATTTTTTTGGGGAGGGGATACACTCCACACCCCTCCTCTCATTTGATATATTAACCCATATTCTTACCTGGTACTTATTCTATAGGATTTGAAATAAAACTTGCGTTTGCAGTACTGAATATCAAATAGTTTATTTTTTAACATTCCTATTTATTAATAAAAATTTAACTCTATAAGAGATAGAGTCCCCAGTCGTGTTTCAGAACAGATCGTTGTAGTTGCTGACGTCATCGAACTGCTGCGGCTGGGCGGGGGGCCTCGCCGCGCCCCCCGCCGGCCTGTACTGAGGCTGCACAAATATAACAACTATTAACACATCCCCACTGTTATTTCAACTGTGTTACAATATTATCATCCTTGTCAGTGTTTTGGGATGTCATTTCTGTCTATAGATGTCTTTTGCGTTTGTAGCTGTTATTTGTGTCTGGTTGTTATTTCTGTCTACAGCCGTCGTTTGTATCTAGCTATGATTTCTGTCTATGGGTGTTATATGTGTCTGGTAGTCTTTTATCTCTATGGCTGTCATTTGTGTGTGGCAGTCATTTCTGTCTTTGGCTGTCATTTCTGTCTATAACTGTAATTTGTGTCTGTAGCTGTCATGTAAGTCTGCGCTGTCATTTTTGTACGAGTATGTCATTTATCTGGGTTGTTTGGTTATTTGACTGTCATTGATGTTTGATACTGTCATTTCTAACTTTCTATTTGTTATAGTTTTCGCAATATTGTGTAATAAAATTGTGCATTAAGATTAATTGAATATTGAGTATTTAAATACTCTACAATTTTTACACCTATTAGGTTATTATGTTAATTATGCTTTGTGTAAGTAAAGCGCTTTGTTATTTAACAATAATAAAATAATTGCTTAAGAAAGTATAAGAATGTCAAATAGTTTAGGAAAGATTATAAAGAGACATGCAAAAGTATTAAAATTTTTACAAATGAATCAAATGAGATGATATCGTATTGAACGTTATTACAAAATATAGATTATAAAATCTCAGTCGTAATAAAAATACTACAAATTCATCATACAAAGGATTTCCTTGATTTTAGTAACATTTTGTCATAATATCCAATACTGTTAGTGCAGAAAATAAATAGATACTTATGAATGTTTAGTTTCAATAAAATTAATTAATTTCTTTAAATCTGAAAAATTTTTGGTCAAAAAAATGAAAACATTCTCTTATGCAAAAATTACTTGACTTTGATAGCTACTAAATTACTAGCATAATGTGAACTGAACATTATGGAGTCTGTGGTTTAGTACAAGTTAAACAGTGGAAATAGGTTTTAAATCATTCATAAGTATCTAATGAGAAGCAGAAAGGTGGTGAAAGCATTACTTATGCGTGCGAGGTTATGAAGACGTCACATGTGCGGCCTGCTGCCGCGCGGCCCCTGCTGCTGCTAGAACATACAGCCACACAGCTGAGCAGCGCTGGACAATACTGAGTCACACTGAACAGTGCTGAGTCACACTCAACAATACTGAGTCACACTGAACACTAATGTGCACTGAACAATGAGTAACAAACGAGTATTGCAGAACAATATTTAACATCGCTAAACAATATTGAGTTACACTGAACAACATTGAGTTACATTTTTGAGTATTGCTGAACACTGACGTGCACTGAATGATAAACAACCTGAATAATATTGAGTTTTACTGAACAATATTGAGTTACGCTGAACAAAATAGAACTACATTTAATATGATTTTATAATATCGAAAATCCTATTTTCTTGTAATTGTTCAGATCTTTGTATAATGCTCTTAATAATGGCCATTGAACTAATGTATCAACTCGACATTTTATGAAGGTAATCATTTTTTAGTTGTTAAAATAAAAACATTTAAATGTGAATAGATATTATAATAATTATTAAAGTGAAACATGCTAAGAGCTCTTGTGAAATATCTACATATAGCAAATTAAATGTGAAAATAATTGAAGTATCGGAAATAGTAAGGCTAAATTACATTAATGGCAATGAAATTTTAATTAAGCATGGTATGAGTGGCAACACTTAAAATCCCATTGCAAAAAAATAAATATATTAATTACTATTAGTAAAAAAAATTATCTATACAATTATAATAAAGCGTAAACACACACTTCTTTGTTGCCTAAGATGTCAATTGCAGCATGTTTTTAAATAATTCTTTTTTTAATAAAAAGCCCTACACTTACGTCATGCTTTAGGCTAAAACAAACACCTTTGTATCAATAAAAAAAAATAAAACGGTTCTAAATACATCTATCTATAGTTTATTCTATTGTTAATAACTTGTTGTTCGTCTTCGTCTACGCAGAAATACAACAGAATTATAACAGATATATATATACTAGCTGTTCCCGTGCGGCTTCGTCCGCATAAAATTATAAAAAAAACTATATTTTATTATTTAAATTTGTCAAATTATCAATAGCTTGATGTTGGCAGCATCTTATGGTCTCTTTCCCACATTAGGGTTTTTATCCAAAATATTTAGCTCCCTAAGTTTAATGGCGTGAAAATATACAGCCTAAAGCATGATGTAAGTATAGGTATTTTCATTAAAAAAATAATTATTCAAAAATATGGTGTAATTGCTGACATCTTAGGCAACAAAGAAGTGTGTGTTTACGCTTTATTATATTAGTATGTGTACCTGCT